CCACGAGGATCGCGAAAAATGGATGAAATGTCTTCGTGATTGCATTGCCATGGCAATAAGCCAGACAATGGTACACGTACGTCCCCCTCTAATGCGCACGCATGTTGGTGGAGGTCATTTGTGAAACAATGTAGTTCTCTGGCACCGATTGGTTCGTGGACCCAAAGTCCCAATGCCGTGTTCGCTGCCTTCACCAAGAGGGCCGGCTGCGCAATAGTGTTCATTTTCACAAAATCTCGTTTGAACGCTGCGAGCCCAGGTACAACTTGCTGCGAAAGGTCGGTTCGGGTGCGTATGGGTTTGTCGTCGCTGCAGAAGATGTCGTCTTCAGTGTCGTCCTAATTTGTCTATCATGATAGTACTACCCTCAGGTCACCACCAAAAAACAAGTGGCAATAAAGAAGGTTGCAAACGCGTTCGAGGACATGGTCGATGCTAAACGAATGCTACGTGAAGTACGACTTATGCGACAATTCAATCATCCAAATGTTGTAAAGCTCTATGATATTATGGAACCTCCGTACATAGAAGATTTCGACGACCTTTATATCGTCACAGAACTGATGTCGACCGACCTGCAGAAAATCCTCTATTCCAAGACCAAGCTCTCGGAGGAGCAAACACAATATCTAGTCTATCAGTTATTGGCAGGCATGAACTATATTAACTCAGCTTCTGTTTTGCATCGTGATCTCAAGCCCTCCAACTTGCTCATCGACATTCAAACGTGCAACTTGAAGATATGTGACTTTGGCTTGGCGCGCGGCACCTCTGGTCACAAAGACGCTATCGAAGACGCGCCACCCAGCGAAGCTTCCGTGGTAGAAACCACAGAGGAGCAAGAATATACCGAGTATGTTGTGACACGGTGGTATCGCGCACCCGAAATCATGCTTGGTTTCCATGCCTATGATCAGGCAATTGATATGTGGTCTATTGGATGCATCTTTGGTGAGATGCTTCTCCTGCAGCCAGTCTTTCCAGGGAACGACTACATACACCAGCTCAAACTCATTGTGAAATTACTGGGACGTCCTCTAAAGGTAGATCTCTGGTTTGTTTCTAACCAGAACGCGATGAATTTCATGCTCCAACTCCCTGATTATAAATCGCAAGACTTCCAATCCAAATTTCACAGTGCGACGAACGCCATGGCGCTAAACCTCCTCGAAAAGATGCTTGTATTTAATCCAAGAAAGCGCACGTCTCTTCATGAAGCTCTCGAGCATAAATATGTGGAAGAGTTTCGAGAGCATGAGCTCGAACGAGACGCTGGTTTTCATGTCAAAGTAGATGATGTCGAGATGATCACGTTGAACAAAAAAAGCTTGCAAAAGATGCTATACGCCGAGATCCGAGCGTTTCATCGTCAGGCACCGACAGATCACGGACTTGATGATGAGTTAAAGGATTGAATTTCATTCCCGCACCAGCCTCAGCATAAAACTGCAATACCGGCCGCTTTTCTGGACCTAGTGCAACAGGCCCTCTACTCGTTCGTCCAGTAGCCTCAACCCCCGTATGACTACGGCAACTGAGACCATAACTTCCTCGGAATATCCTTGCACATTCGCGTTTCCACGTGCGTTTCCGCCCACTTTGGAGGCCGCGGGAAATACGGCGCGTTCTAGTTTGGGGCCCGCTCGGGGCCCCGGCGCCTCAGTAAAGCCCCCAGGCGCCGGCCCAGAATTGTCGGGGGAATCATGGGTTCCCTGGGGTCCCGCCCGAGGCGAGGGGGGTTTTCCTGGGTGAGGTTCTGCCGCCTGCTCGGCTCTCGTACTAGGGAACTACATTCTCTCTAAAGGCGCGGGTGGCCGCGGCAACAAAATCCCCGATTGGCGGCCCGCTGAGTACCACAAGAAGCTGGACGAACTCAAAAATTGCATTTACGGCAGTACAAAATGTTTCCGGTAACGAGTTAGTGAGTTTAGACCACCAGGGACAGTATCTGGTAGTTGCTGTGGTTCATAGCTTACCTGCTGATATGAGCTGGTCTTTCTTTTGCTGTTCTCATGATTGTCCCATGCCGCTTTACATGCGCCAGATAGGTGCCCAAATGCACCGCAATTCCAGCATTGCCTGTGGTCAAAGTCAGTGTTGCTGTTGTCTAGCCTGACAATTTGGTGTTGAGGCTGGTAATGACTGTTATTATATCCTCTGCCTCTTCCAAGCTAGGTCGTCCGCGTCCTAGATCGACATAACCAGCAGGTTAAGGGCAGTTTAAGTGGGTGCTAGAGCCGAC